TTTTTTTACCATCTCATCCATTTTCGCCATCTGAAACTAATTTTTAAGTTGTTTTCTGCTGATTTTTTTTTTTATATATATAAAAATTTCTGTTCAAAGACTAGTCGTACGACAATTGGATTGATTATAAGTTTGGTTTTTGTGTTCTTTTCTTAGTTTTTTTTTAACAAGGTGATAAGAAAGTTTTAAAAAAAATAGATAAGGGTAAATTGGAAAATAAAATATAGCTTTTCTGATGCATTAATGACATTGTTTTAAGAGCTAGTTGGCACTGCTGTGTTGTGAAGATAATCGTTATCGGATTTGCTGTGAGAGAAAGTAGTTTGACGTTTGGTAAACTTTTTGTTAAAAGTGTTGTTGGTATTGATTCCCGCAAAATCATTAAACTCAACACTTCTTCGAAATTGATTCCTGCATAATCAGGAAATGAAAATATCTCATTAGTTGCTTTCTCTTATAGCTTTCTCTCACAATAATTTTTAATCATAAGTGATTTTCTCATAGTTTACCAAACAGGCTGGGCTTCCCAAATTTTTTTAAAAAATCACTTATCACCCTAAATAAGTAATGTCAAACAAGCACTAAGTGTAAGTAAAGTGACACATGTTATGAGGAAAAAGGATCAAATCCAAAAGATAAAATTAGAAAGAAGATTGCTAACATTCCCTAATATACCCAACCAGTCTAAACCCTTGAGCTACAAGTACATGACTTTAACTTTTAAGGATTGGTTTAGAGTTTGGGTCAAGATTGAAGATTGAAAAAGATATGACCTCCCTTACATGGGTTGGGTGGGGTACCTCTCAACTTTTGGGACTTGGAAGTGTGCCTCTCTAAGTGAATGCAAGTTAGTGATTATGTCACAAGAAATCCAGAACAAACCATGCATAAAAATAATAAGTTTTTATTGGGATTTCTATTAGTGATAATAAGCTGATACATAATATCATTGTTTAGAGACTATTTTACCCCTTTATTTTTCTCACCCATCTAAAATTAATCGGCATTTGCCTCATGATTCATGGATCGAAAAGAAACGATCTAAACCCAATTGGTCAAAGCCCATTTCGGTCGGCTATGTTCTTGCTGATGCAGTAAACTTCTCTCGTAGGGATTTGAAATAGGCCAGCAATCCATCATGTTCAGGAAGGTTATCTTTGATCACAGGGGCATCTCTGAAGTTTTTGATCCAAGTCTGCAAGTGAGGAAACAGATTAGGCTCTAGCAACTTGACACCAGCTGCTTCTTCCATCTCACCTAGACAACCAGCTATCCATCCAAATGTCAAGTCTGCCAACCCAATTGTGTCTCCTCCAAAAAACTTCTTCTCCCCAAGCCCACGTTCTTCTATTGTTTTCAACACTTCTTGCGCTTCTCTTTTTGCCTTCTCATGTTCTTCACCAACCGAGTGAAAATATGCAACAAAAATTGGAGTCTGCAAGGCCCAATGCAACAGATATGAATAAATCAAACCAGGCCCAATTCAATATTTTGTTTGGTGTTTTGTTTTTCTTATTAGAATATTTATGTTGCTAAACATGATATTAAAAGACTAAGCTTACTCTTTGCTAGGTTTTTATAGTGGCTTTGTGACTACTCATCAAAAGGCAAAAAAATCCAAATAAATGTGCATGAAACATATTAAAATTTAAATGTTCCGTCTTAGGCCTTCGAATTTTGCAAAATCAGCATCAAATTTATTCGTCAAATAATGTGATATGTTTTATTTAGACAAAAATAAAGTCACGTGAGAAAATTTAAATGTCTCACATACCTTGTCCTCTTCAAACTTAATCCAAAACCGAGCCATGGCCCTCTCATAAGGATCATCTGAAAGCAATGGATTATGTGGCCAAACCTCCTCAATGTATTCAAGAATAACAGTAGACTCTGAGATTGGTTTTCCGCCATGAACGAGCACTGGGATCTTCTTATGAACTGGGTTATACTGTAAAAGACGATCACTCTTGTTTGTAAGATTTTCTTCCACATATTCATACTTAACACCCTTTAGCTTTAGAGCCCATATGACTCTGTAGCCAAAGAAACTAGGCCATGCTCCTAGTAGCTTCACCTCTTCCATTTTCTGTGAAGATGTGTTTTTTCTTTCTTTCTAACTTGCTCCATCCAATGGGTTAGCTTTGTTTGTCTTTATAAGCTTTTGGTGCAAAGGTTAGGTCAAAAGTTAATTTATGTATAAATAAAAAATAAAAGAATGGCCATTTCGTATACTTTTCTGTTTGTTTGCCAAGAAATTGACAAGTTGTATATAATCCAAAATTGGAGTTACACTAGGCATAGCACCATTGGTGTTCTTGGGGCACACTCAAAACTATTGAAAAGTCATGTCAATTGGTCAAAAGGTGGCCAAGAATAAAAATGCGACATCCAGTTTAATATTCCAAAAGGAAATTTCAAGGCTTTTTTCCCCAGAATATAATATATACGGCCGTATGGTATGGTTGACTGAATTGGATTGGATATATTAGGATATGATTGGATTTTAAGTAATTATTTATTAGTGCAATAAACACCAAGTTGAGATTGTAGGATTGAAACAAACATAGCAAAATACAAAATTAAAATAAATACAATTCTCAATGAGACTTGGCCCCAAAATCCCCTGCTTTCAGATGACCCTCATGACAGAGCCTTAGCATGGTTTTTTACGAAGTTCATAGACGAAAAGGTGATTTTATATATTTTTACATCATCCAAATTCGTAGTCTGACAACAAACAAAGTTAGCCCCACAATCCAGCATATATTCACTTAGAACATTCACAATAGGCTCCCTAAATCACCTCCGTAGACAAATTTTAAAGAGGAATTGTAAAAATGCAACTTCAACCATGCTCCCTATCCACCTCTTAAAATATGGAGTCCTCTATGAGCTCCTAAATCTAAGGAGAGAGAAATGATCTCTAATAGATCTCTATAATTTAATGCTGCTTTATTTAATGAGTATTTCAAACCTTTATTTAATGCTAACTATTTTTTGTTTTATTTTTTAATAGAGATGGACCAATTAAAAAAGAGTTATAACATTTATGACTCTCCAAATTAGGAAATACGGTTGGAGTTGAATTTTTTAAGAGAGCTCCTAAAATAGCTTTCTTATATTTTTGGCTAAATTTTAGATAAGAAATAGAGAGCATCATTGTGGATGCTCTTACAGAACCTGATCTCCTTACCGTCTATGATTTAAAAGAAAGGACGCTCCATTTCTACCTTTACAAATTTCACTGATTAGAGAAAAAATATTGTGAAGGCTAATTCATTTTCATAAACCTTTATGATTTGGAAGTTAATGAAGGGTTTGCGAAGCTTATGCAGAGTTTCAAAGGTACTCTAGATGTTGTTGGAACTATTCGCTTATTGGAATGCAGAATCTATTACATTTATTTATCTTTGAACTTTTATTCTTATTGGGTTCATGTGGATATCAAGAAGTTGCTGGCTTGACATGCCACTCCCTTCGTTCTTTCATATAGGCTAACAGGCGGCTCTCATCGGGATGATTTTCTTTAATCACAGGAACTTCCTTGAAATTTTTAATCCATGCCTGCAAGCGAGGGAAGCTATTGACTTCCAGCACTTGTACACCAGCTGCTTCTGCCGTGACCTCAAGCCAGAATGCTATCCATCCGAAGGCTAAGTCTGTCATTCCAATCTCGTCACCGTTGAAAAACTTTTTCTCCCCAAGGCCATGCTGTTCCAAGATTGCCACAAGTTCTTGGGCGTCTTTTACTGCTTTTGCTTGCTCATCTCCAGTTTTCCAAAGGAACTCAAAAAAGTTTGGCCTCTAACTTACACAAAAGAACCAGTCAGTGAAAAGGTAACATTTCATATGAATCGAGGAGAACAAGCCAAAAGATTAGGGAAATTTGATTACCTTGTCATCTCCGAACTTGGTCCAAAACCGAGCCATGGCCCTTGCATAAGGGTCATTTGGTAGCAGAGGGTTCTGAGGCCACGTCTCTTCAATGTACTCAAGAATAACAGGGGACTCTGCAATTATTTTTCCACCATGAAAAAACACTGGAACCATCTTATGCACTGGGTTACTCTGAAGAAGCAAATCACTCTTATTGTATATGTCGTCTTCTATATATTCATATTTGACACCCTTGAGTTTCAGAGCCCATATAACCCTGTAAGGATATGGACTTGACCAGTACCCTAGTACCTTTACTTCTTCCATATTCGTCTAGTTTGTGTTCATCTTCTTACTCTGGTGAGTTATATATATAGGTATATACCTGATTGAGTGCAGTTCAAAGTTTCAAACCTGCTTGGGCTCTCAGTAGAGGTTAGGTGGAGATTACTAATTATAATTTGCCGTCTTGTTTGACCAAGTAATAATAATTCATATAAATTTACTACTTAGTTTTCAATTCCTGTAGTTTGGGGTGTTCCAATAATTGTTTTTATCATCTCATTCATTTCTGCCACTTGAAACTACTTTATAGGTTGTTTCCTGCTGACTTTTTATTTTATATAAATATAAAAAAAATTCTGTTAAAAGACTAATCTACGGCAATTGGATTGATTATAAGTTTGATTTTTATGTTCTTTTCTTAGTTAATGTTTAACAAAGTTGTAAAATAAATAAATAAATAAAAATTTGGATAAGGGTAAATTGGTTTTGATGCATTAATGACATTTCGTATAGTTTTCTGTTTGTTTGCCACGAAATTGACAAGTTGAAATGCGTGTATATGATCCAAAATTGGAGTTACACTGGGCAGAGCACCATTGATGTTCTTGGGCCACACTCAAAACTACTTCGAAAAGTCATGTCAATTGGTCAAAAGGTATCCAAGAAGAAAAATGCGACGTCCGGTTTGATATTCAAAAAAGAAATTTCATTCAAAAAAATAGTTTTTTTTTTTTTTTTTTTTTTTTTTTTTTTTTTTTTTTTTTCTTCTTTTTTTCTCCCCGTAATCGTAATATATGGGGGCTAGGGCTTGAGGAAGAACACAAACAATTCAACAAGAAATGGAAGAAGTGAAGCTGTTTGGAGCTTGGCCTAGTCCATATGGTTACAGAGTGATATGGGCTCTGGAGCTCAAGGGTGTGAAATAGGAATATATAGAAGTGGACTTGGCTAACAAGAGTGATTTGCTTTTACAATATAACCCAGTTCACAAAAAGATCCCAGTGCTTGTTCATAATGGGAAACCTATTGCTGAGTCCTCTGTGATCCTTGAGTACATTGATGAGACTTGGCCCCAAAATCCCCTGCTTTCAGAGGACCCTCATGAGAGAGCCTTAGCGCGGTTTTGGACGAAGTTCATAGACGAAAAGGTGATTTTAAATTTTTTTACATCATCCAAATTCACAGTCTAACAACATAATATGTATTACTTTCGTAGATTATTAGCCTTTTTCGTTCATTAATAATCAAATGGAAATTTTCAATTTGTGTGATCAAGCAGGGCCTTCCATTTGCTACATTCTTCATGGCTGATGGAGAAGAACATGAGAAGTCTGCAAAAGAAGTCAAAGACCTACTCAATATCTTAGAAGAGCAAGCTCTCGGAGAGAAGAAGTTCTTTGGTGGAGATGAAATTGGATTGGCTGACTTAGCCTTGGGATTTATAGCCTCCTCTTTTGGAGTCATTGAGCAACTGGTTGGTGTCAAAGTGCTGCATGCCAATGACTTCCCTAGATTATGTAATTGGATTAACAACTTTAAGGAAAACCCAGCAATCAAACAGAACCTCCTTAATCATGATCAAATGTTTGTGTACTACAAGCAGAAGAAGGAGATGCTTATTGCTTCAAGGACAACATAAAATTGCTTGTTAGTAGATTTCTTGTTACAGTAATTGTTCTTGCACTATATAATTCATAATGGAGTGCTCATGTTTTCCTCAGTTTTATATGGTCTGATTGAGTTATGGATTTATAAAATACTCCATGTTCTAGCTATGGCTCTCTTCTGGCTAAAAACATGTGGTGATAAGCTCATGCTGGAAAACGGTGACGTTTACAGCCAATAGAGAAGTGCTTTTTTTTTTCTCAACAAACAAACAAAAAGGAAAGAAATAAGAAGGGCTGCTATTTACCACTTGGGTTGTGGGAGGAGGTGGCAGTATTGTGATCATCCAAATATGGCCTCCCAAGAAAACAGTAGAAAACTGTCACAAGCAGGAAAAAAAGGCTGAGTTCAAGCAGTGGCCATGGCTTCTGTGGCAAACGGTCCCTTCTACATTCTCAAACCTCCAAACCATCCTAGTTACAAACTCAGTAGTGGTATCAGAACGACCCTCTGGTCATTCTCATGTACCAATGCACCATTTCTCACTCTGCAGACCTCAAAGCAGAAGTCTTCAACCATCATTTGCTTTGCAACTGATAAGCAAACTTCTTCTACTGAAATCAGGTCTTCACCTTTGTCGTTTTCGCTTCCATGTATTTCAACATTCAGTTTATCTCTTTTCCAGTATTTTGAGAATGATTAATTGTTCCATATGATAGAATTGAGCTCCACCATATCTTAATGTTTTCTTGGATAATTGGATTTGGATATGACAAAATGACAACAACAAAAAAAGGCTTTGATTTGTGGTTGTGCCATAGTGTTGCAATTTGACTGTAACAACTTATTTCTCTAGTGATTATTGGTTTCAATTTTTACTTCTCATTTCTGGGCTAATTCTACCTACTTCTGTCATTCATGGAACTGGTTCTAAAATGAAGTAGATAGACTAGGGAATGGGGTTGTTTCGAATTTTCAGCATCTTTGCTGATTTGGGTTCTTTGCCTTCCAATGCCTTATGCTGTATGTGCTTATGTTTTACACATCAGGCTTCCTTGTAATCAAAGTTTTGTTTGCTTCACAGTTCCACAGCCAGGATTAGGAGTGAAGTTCTCACTCCCTTTCGCTCCGTTCGGATGTTTTTCTATCTTGCTTTCATTGCAAGTGGCGGTTTAGGAGGACTCATAGCAACCACACAGTTAATTGCAGCACTAACAAACCCATCAAGAGCACTTGATGCCCCTGAAATTGCGAAGGGTCTTGGGATAGACCTTGGAGCAGTGTCTCTCTTTGCATTCTTGTATTTGAGAGAGAACAAGGCCAAGAATGCACAGATTGCTAGGCTCTCAAGAGAGGAAAACCTTTCGAATCTTAAGCTCCGGGTTGATGAAAAGAAGGTCATTCCTCTTAGCTCTTTGAGAGGGATTGCTCGGCTTGTAATATGTGCAGGCCCTGCATCAGTCATCACAGAAGCTTTTAATCAAAGTGAACCCTACACTGAAAGGCTTGTGGAACGAGGGGTGCTCGTGGTGCCCTTTCCTACAGATGGAAACTTACCTAGTTTTGAGTTTGAAGAAAGTGAAGAGACTAAGGAGATTACTGCAAAGAGGAAAAGACTATGGCAGCTGACACCAATTTATATTCCTGAATGGACCAAGTAAGTAAACCATGTTCAAAACAATATAAACTTGTTCAACTTTAAGTTGTTCTTACTCTTTCCTCACGCACTTTTATTTTTCCTTGTAAATGGTAGGTGGTTAGATGAGCAAAAGAAGCTGGCAGGCGTCTCCTCTGACTCTCCTGTGTAAGTGTTTTCACCAGGCTTACTTCTGTCTTTAATTCCACTAATCAAAGTTCAAATATCACTGGATTTTGAGTGTACAAGTGCCTTATGCTCGCTCTTGCCATTGACAAGACTTTCCCTTTTTTCCTTTTTGAGTTTGAAGCATATAGTTTATTAGCTTATTTGGGCTTGAATTCGTGAACTCCTTTTTTTCAACAATCAGTCTATGTTCTTGGGAATATTAGCATAAGATCGCTTCTTGTGAAATTGTGCATCTTTTTGTTTGTCTGCAGGTATATATCTCTTCGCCTGGATGGTCGTGTTCGTGGCAGTGGCATTGGTTACCCGCCTTGGAATGCTTTTGTTGCACAGCTACCACCTGTAAAGGGAATGTGGTCTGGTCTTCTTGATGGGTTTGATGGAAGAGTTTAAGAAAATATTTTGTGTTATAGGTTAGTTTCTAGTTCTGGATTACTTGAAATCTTGTAATGTGATAGGTTATTTCTAATATATATACTTCCATTTTCTTTGTTATGTGGTCAGGCCTTCCTTAGAAATAAAACTCTGTTTTCTTTTGCCCTTTGAATATTGCAGTAGGATCAAAGGCATGATATGGAATATGCAGCTATTTCAGAAAACATATTTATTTGCATGGTTTTTCGTTTCGACCAAACACATTAAACATACTTTCTGGTGCCAACATGGGTTTAGAGATTCTGAAACAAAATTTTTTGATAACTTGAAATGTCAGAGTTGGGTTTAGGAATGCACATATATGTTCTGATAAAACTTCCTAATGCCAGAGTTGTCTATGGGGAACTGGAAAATCCTGTTAGGAATTGTTTTCGGCTTCTATGTGGCTAACAGGTCCTGCTATATATGCATGCAATGTTAAGGAAGCAACCAAAATGGGGGATTTGAGGACAGTTGACAGAGAAAAGAGTTGTTTTGTCCAAAAACAACTTAAACTAATCTATACATCAAGCCTTGTGAATGTTGAATTGCCATTTTCTGAGTCGGCTTTCTTTTTTTTCTTTTTCTTTTTCTTTTGGAGTTAACAGTCACCTTGATTTGAATGAGTTGGTTTGAGCAACTTTCCGCCCGCTTGTTTTGAAGAAAAAGCTAGAAAGAACAATATATATTATATACTCTATGAATAATATCAATTTGGACTTGTGGCAAACAGTGATTGAAACTTAACTAAGAAAAGGTGGAAGAAATCACCGAGTATGGATACACAATAAAGGCACAAACAAGGAAGAAACTGATAGAAGGAGAATTAAGATTACAATTTACAAAGCTACTAAAAACTCATTTAACTTCTTCAATCTCGTCCAAAGCATAGTTATTTGTGGACACATTGGCATAGTTAACTTTGTTGAATCGAACGACGACTGGGTAACGGGTGTTGGGGTCCTGTAAAATGAAGATCAACAGAGCAAATTAACAACTTAAGCAGACCCTTCTCTCATTTCATGTAGTCTTAATTGAGAGAGAAGTGAGAAGTCAGACCTGATCCACAGCTACAACAGATCCAATGCCTTTGAACCAGTAGGACTCCCTCCTAAGAATCTTCACCTGCAAAGTCAGTGAAAGATTCAAACTAGTCAGTGACTTAATATCTCCATAGTCTATTGCACTGAAGAACATATATATTTCTGGCCACTAGAACATATCAACTGATCCTTCTGCTAGTTTTTCTTCTGGGTTTAATTTGGTTTGCCAATTCAGCAATTCCCAATCAAACCAAACAATTTAGAAGCTTTATATTTTCATTTGGGGTCCTCTGAAATTTCTGTTTATGCAACTAAAACTAAACAAGACCATTTCATTGTACAAAAGAACATATATTTCTGGCCACTATAACATATTATCATATCTTAGGACACACAAATTAACTGATGCTTGTCCTGGTTTCTAGTGATTTTCATTCTCTCTTTTTTCTGAGTTTAATTTGGTTTCTCAATACAGCAATTCCAACTACAAAACTATTGACAATTCACTCAAATAATAATTTGAAAAAGAATTCTATTTTTTAACATGAACTAACCTTGGTGCCTCTCTTGGGTCCAATTGGAGGTGGCTTAGGTTTTGGGGGAGCTGCCCCCTCTGGTGCTTCCTTGGTGGCTGCTGGTGGGGCAGCAGCTGCTTCATCAGCTGCCCTGATCACAAACCTGGCATTGTTTCTGGTGTTGGTGTTAGGCTTTGAAGAGAAAAACAACATGCTACTTCTGCTGGAAGCAGAGCCTGTGTTGTTGGCTGCTGCAACATTTGGTGCCACAACAAAGCCTGAGGCAGCTGATGCCATGCCACAGCTAGCCATAGCCATATGTGTTAAGTTATGTGCTGCTTGCTGCTGCTATGTTCTCTCTCTCTCTCTCTCTCTCTCTGGCTGGCTGTGAAAGACTAAAACGTTAATGGCTATAATTAAGACCACCAAAACATTGAGAGGCTTTGAATGAGTGAGTGCTGAATTTCTATGCTCTCTGTTAGAAAACAATTATCTGATCCTGCAAACGTGAGATAATAAATCGTTGCCTCCACTAGGGTGCTGACACCTATGCACCATATCCTTTTTGTTTGGATAATATGTGATTACATGTCATCCTTGCCTGCGTACTTGCTGAGTGGGCCAAACCAACCTTTTCTTTTCATTTCATTTTTGGCCTTTTCTTCTCGTGAAATTTCTTTTAAATAATGAAATTGAACTTTTCTAAGAAAAGTAAAGAATTTATTTCTGGCATTCCACTTCATAATTGCTTAATTATTGGAAATAGTTGTACAAATTAACATTTTTATTTAAAATATATTGTTTGTATAATTTTTTTAAAAATATATTCATTTCAAAAAGCAAAGTTTATTCATATTTCCTTATAATCAAATACGATTCTAAATTTGTCAAAAAAACTAAATACGATTCTAAACTTTGTCAAAAAACCAAATATGATTTTTAAACTTGAATGCAATTTCTTAATTTAAATTTTAAGTTTTCTAATATAGTTCTGATTAAGTAGGAAGTGTCGTTTATAAGATTTGCACTCAAATTTGTACTACTCCACCGAATAGTCACTAATTTTGTGTTTCTTTTACTACTTTCAAAACATTTCGAACACACTGGGAAGAAAAGGGGACATAAGAAGATATGTATTCTTGCCTTCTTAAGAAATGTTTTATTTTCCTAAAATGAAAAGGTAATGTTTTATTAATTTGTGAAGAAAAAAGAAAAGAAAAGAAAAGATCATCAACAGTCAAGAAATGCCAAAAATATACAGATATTTAAAAGGCCGTATCACGTGCCGTTTTGGCGCCTTAATGCCCCTCTTCCAGCTCTCCTCGGTATTCAACCGCCATTGCCTAACGAAACGTTACAATTCTTCAAAACGCGAAAACGAAGCTAGGGTTTTAGCTGATGATGCTGATCACGGACCTCTTAATCTACGTTAGGGCACAATGAAGCGCAAGACTTCCGAACCTAACCCCAAAGATCCACTGCAGATCCGAATTCCATCACATCGAGGGTTTCATGGGATTCGGAGCTCCGATTCCCGATTCCCCGTCACAACGACGCCGAGAACCGCAGGTCGATCCCAAAACCCTAGCACTAGTCTCCTAATTAGCTTTGAATATGTTGAAATTTTGATTCTTAGTGCGTCGAAGTTGAATTTGAATGCTCATGTTTAAGTTTTTCATCTCCTTGTAGATATTAGCTGCAAGAAAAGAGTCAAATTTATAAATCTTGACAACGAAGATCAGAGACCCCCAAGATGTGAATTTGGTACTTTTTTCAAAATGTTACACCTTCCAAGTTCTCAAATTTGTCATATATTATTTTGGGAGATTGAAATTTGTTTGAAATGATAATAATCTGATGCAAAATGTATCAAATCAGCTGATAATGCCAAGACTTCCGAGTACGCCTTCTTCAAGAAATTGAAGGAAGGTGCAAGCCACAAAGCTCATTCTTATTCTCTGCATAAAGAGGCCTACCAAACAAACAATTCCACGTCAAGGGACTGTTCCAGAGGTAATTATTAAACTCTGAAAATAGTGTATTATAGTGTTATAGCAATCTACATTTGCTCAATTGGTTTATGATGAATTGCCTGCTGCGCAGAGAGGGTCAACATGGTCCAGAATAAGAGAGTGGACGTGAGGTCTTCGTTTCTAAACGAAAATGCTACACCGGGTAAGTTTGGCTCATTCATTCTCCTACCACCTGGACTTGGCAGTGCATCAAAAACTGAGGTTTTCAATGTAAAGAGGCATAGTTAAGCATACTGCAGAAACTGGTGTGGCAATCATTCTATTAAATATAATTTTGACTGGAGTCTGTCCTATATGCCTATTTGGATTGCTTTCAACCTTAATGGAAAAATTCGGGCATGCTTATATTGTGAAGTTAAGCCAAAAACTGTGTACTTTAACATCGAAGTTACGAGTGCAACTTCCTTTTGTGCAGAGCTAAATGTGGAGAGAGCTTGTGCAACCTTAGAGGGTGTACACAGAAAACAGAACGATATGGTGGAGGAATATGAAAATTCCTTGAGAAATAAAGGTAAAGGAAATTTGTATATGAAACCTCTACCTTCTTTGTTATACTTATTTGGTGGCCAAGGAGATGGAGGGAAAGGAAATATGAATCTTACAAATTGGAAAAATCTTTACATTAACCTTCCAAAATTTATTTCTTTCCATCTACTTCATGACCCAATGAAGCCTAGCTTGTTGCTTTCTTTCCATCTGCTCCATCTGCTTCAGTTCTGATTAGGTAAACATCAAGAATGTTTAAGCATCTTGGGTTGACACTGTTAAGTTAATTTGAATTATTCAGGAAAAAGATTTACCCATTTTGAAGAAACAGAAACTGAAAACAGGCATGCAGACGTTTTTTATAGGAAGAGACAGAAGCTACGTCAGTGGGTCACAGAGACTTCGTTTCCTGAAATTGATGAACTCTGCTTAAAGGGGTTAGACATATGATGATCAATAAGTTCTTTTGCTTTCTTTATGTATCTTATTGAGAATTCAATCATATTTTCGCAGGTACGATTTTGTTTCTATGCTCCTCAGCCGGCTGGTCCCCAAGTGCAATGAGAACAATGTATCCTCTATTACCTTTTTTATGTGGATTATTGATTCTACACGTTTTCGTGGTTTTCAATTACTATGAAAAGTACTTGCTCTTCCAGAAATTGAAGGATCCAAAGTTAACGCAAGCAGAGACCAATAGCAAGGCTATGTCACTTCCATCTTATGAGTCAGTTATTGACTTCAAGGAACTTCCATGGACACCTACTAGAAACTTTATGGAACTTGATTGTGGCCCTTGCTTGCATGATTTGATGCCGTCTTGTTGGTCCAAGAGATCAAGAGAGAGGATTTTCTGTTCCGATTCTCCAACTAGTTATGTTTACAAGAATCATCTTCAGTACAAAGTATGGGAACCTGAGTCTGAATTACTAGGAGGAAGAGCAATTTCATGCACTGAGAGTGACTCACAATCTGTCCTTCCATTCAAAGAATATGGATTAGTGTCATCTGGACATGTCAAAGAGATGGATGCATTCTGCCAGCCAGATGAATATTTGATCAAAAGAGAGCTAGCCGTTCCTCTGCTGGGTTGGGATTTTGGCAGCACGAAAGAACATAGAAATTCATCTGACTTATCAAGATATGGAGCTGAACACAGATCTGCATCCTTAGCCAGTTATCAAAACCATGAAGTTCCAAGACATTGTCTTGAAGGCAACGACGATATACGATCAGGTTTCCCCCAAATTCCCTTAACCTTGTCGTGTATAACGAACTTTATTAATCCGACTGAAGACTGCATTGAGGACACAGCCTGTGAAGTTGGCAGCACCATATTTTCTGTCCAAAATGACCATTGGTTTAGGAGCAAGATCATCCATGAAGAGCACTATCTTCCTAATACAGAATCTCTCCTTCCATTCAGTGGTTCCTGGAGAGAGTATTATTCATCAACTTTTCATGCTCTACAATTACCAGAACAGGAAGACATATCTTCCCGCCTTCTTACTTACAACAACGATAAGTACGAAAGAATCCTAGACGACTCCAGTCAGGCAAGAAGCCTTGCTCATTTCGTTGAAGATAATGTTAGCATCAATGAGAGCTCAGCCTTTTGCCCCCAGGTACCGTTGGACACAGAGAAGGCATGGCCCTGGCTGCTTGATAACTCAAGCTGGGATAGAAGTGAAAGAGAGGTAAATTTTGATGATAGTGATGTCGATATATTTTTACAGTGAAGTAAATTCGTATGGTAATTAAAATTTGATATAATCTACTTTCATCCCAACATGATTGCATTAACAAACTCATATAGGGAAGGAAAAAAAGGTTCAAAATGAGAGTTAATTTATGTATTGCGTGCTCTTTTGCGTTTGAATTTTGATGCACCAGATTGTCAAAGTGGAATTTATGTGATATTATGCAATTATGAGATTTGGTTGCAATGATATATTTCAATCAAAGTAGTTTTATTGAAATTGAGTATAAGTGCATGACCTTTCCTGCTTGGGTAGATATGATAAATCAGAATGAAAACGATCACAAAAGTTTAATTAATGACGTTGTTGGAGGAGGGCCCCTAATTAGGTCCCTAAATTTAGCATCTAATTTAAGTCATTATCATATCTTCTTCTTTTTTATAAGTGATATTCTACTTTAATATGACTATAGGAAAGGGAATTCGAATTCGGATGCAGGGTTAGAGGAGCATATCCGCTCTAGTCAACTTGCCTACCCATTTGCCTCCTCTCTTAGCATGAAAATGCTGATGTGGCAAGGCAAATGAGATTTGCCTCTTCCCTTGGAGATGCTCTAAGTCCATTTTATGCAAGTCATTATCATACTTGAGAGAGAGGGAAAGAGAAACAAGTGAAAGTGAAATGTTATCAGATTTATACTTTAAATTGAAACCTCATCTTGGTCTTGTAATTCATTAATTTTGTGATTAACCATTATTTATTTATTTTTTAAAGACCCGGTTCGTCAGCATGGATGAACTCTGTGGTCCCACTTCGCCACGTCATATGTCCCCACTTTGTCTGCTGACGTCATCAGTCGTATCCCTCGCATTCATTTTGTTCACATTCTTCGTCGGGGGAGTTGCTATTCGCCACACGCTCCTCTCTCTTCTAGATCTAGCTGGGTCCGTTTTAACGATTTTACCATCATATCCGTGTGAAGAAAATTCTTTCGCATCACATGAGTTTTTAGCTGTGTATCAAACAACCCTCTCTATGTACTTCAAAATAAAAAGTAAGGATTATTCACTTGGAAGGATTGGTGACCTTCCCGTGATGATTAGTAACTTCATTACGGACTAAAAAAAATTTAGTAACAAGCGATTGAGAGATGAGAATTTACATAAATATTCATTGGGTAGTTAGAGATTTTAAACCTTCATACACATGAATGGAGATGGAATAGCTTAACCAACTGAGCTCTCGACTAATTAGAATTACATCTCTTGACTGACAAATATTGTCTACAATTTTTCAAATACTATTTACGTAATCGATCAATGAAAAAATTGTTTGTATGCAAAAGTTTCCCCTCTCTATACAATTTGTAGGTGAATTGCAAAGTGAATGGTGACAAATGTGAAAGAGCTCTATGGAGGTGACACTTTACCTCTCAATCAAAATGGGCTAATTGGTTTAATCCATCACTTTCATAATGATAAGAGGATCAATTAACCTCCTAAATCTGCCATAATCTTAATTGGGGGACTTGACCAATGGAAATAAAAAAGGGGGTCATTGTCATATGCATGTGCGCCCTATATGCTTCACCATTGACAAAAAGACTAAAGATTTGCGTCCCCTCCCAGATTTGTTGCCGGATTTAGTTAACTGACCACTCTAAGCTTGTGCACACGCTTATAAGTTATATGCATATGTGACAACAAATAAATATTTAAAAACAACTATTAAGAATCTATCTTTTTCTCACATAATTAGGACAAAAAAGTGGGATTTTGAAAACAAAAAATAATATAAAGGAAATACTGTAAGAAGCAAAATAAATATGGTAAATACCACAAAACTATTAACGAAGTTGAGGTTTCATTCCAAAATAATTGATATTTGGGGGAGTAGTGCAACTTCTTATAAGCCATTTGCAAAGTTTTATAACTTTTTAATGTAAAATATTTTCACCTTCACATTCTCACAAGTCCCCACACGGGGACAAAATATATTATGTGACATAGAGCACTAGTGGCCATTAGGCTTTCACATGCGAGCAACCTCCTCTCTAATACCATGAAGGAGCCAAACTACTTTTAAACCCTTACAAAATTTTCAACTTTTTTAATATATGACATTTTTCGTTATTCTCATTCTCACAAACTATAGAAAGTACATTAGATTTTTTATTTGCCACTTTATAATCTTACTTTATAAAAAGGCCATTAATGGTTTGCATTATTGTTTTTGTGGAGCCAATAGAACCCCAAAAAGTGGATGAGCATCGTATTAAATGTGTTAGGAAATAATGAGTTTTATTTTTATTTTTATTTTAGGACCAAAAAAAAAATTGAAAGCTCCTCCACCAATGGTGTCGTACTCTTTTTCATTATGAGCAAAGAATATCTCTTGTCTTGTAAGTTCGTAGTGGTTGGTAGTAGGTCCTTCTTTGTAGTAGCCATGTTGAATATTATTATTGTCCCATTGTCAATGTCAATGATTTTACCGTTGAGATTTCATGTTTCTGACCAAGCTACATCGCCCCATGATTTATTTTACCTTAAACTATTCCATTTCCTACAAATTTTTTTAACTTTTTTCACCTGCCTTTGAAACCTAACACACATGATGACATGACAAAAGCAGTTTATTTTCACATTCACAACATTACCTAATAAGGATTTGTTACGCGTGATGTGCGGACTAATTAATTGAGAATCATGCCTGTCGTAGAGTTTCTCATAAAAATACAAAACATATCGCCTATAAAGAGTAGTTGGATTATCTCAATAACTGAAAAGTGTATCGTGCTTAAATCCAACTCAAGTTCACGGTGCTTGAGGAACTAAATGATTAAAGAGAGGACTTTTAGTTGTATACGACAAAATTTATGTTACATTTTTATAAGAAAAAGCTACGAACAACCTATTCATTATTGTAAATGGCTCAGTTGTTAAGTGAACAACCAACAATTTATTATTTAGTATTAAAAGTGCATTATGTTAATACAGAATCAAGACAATTGTACTTATTGTTTAATTAGACCAATTGGGCGCCTTCCTAAATGCTTATTATATATATATTATAGGGGTGCATCTTTTCTGCCCTAGCCATTCTAATTAGACAACAAAAATATATAAAGAATCTTCTTATCTTACACAAGTAGGAAAAATGTAAATTGTATGATTAAACAACTTTAAAATGCATGGCATTTCATTCATTAGAAAATTGTCTACTCCATTTCTTCTATTATATATCTACAAATAATTTCTCTATTATGTAGCTATGGACATTTAGTCATTAGGGTTGTGCTAATTATGCGATAAAAATATATATATATAAAAATGCATGGGAATGATCGTTAGTTGTATTTATTTTATTCATAAATGATAAAAATGTTTTTGAGGATCTTTCTTATTGAGAAGGGTAATAATATACTAAACTCACACATACAATACAGATGTTAGGACTCGAACCCAAGACCTTACCCGAAGGAGCAATTACTCCAAACTACTACATTAGTGAGTCTTTTGCATAAATGATAAAAATGTGATTTGTACTTGAAAGTGCAAATAGGTTTGTACATGAAAACTATAAAATATTATTAAAGAATATGAAATTGTTAATACACGATGAAAATATAAATATCATATAATTTTAGAAAAATTAGTATTTATGTTTCAAATTAAGATTTACACGCTTCACGATACATCTCGTATAGGGTTGTGGATTTAATTTCAAACGCACGTAATATCTCCCAATTTTACATATCTATATATATAAACAAAAGATAGAAAATGATGAAATATTCAAAATACCAGAAAATTTTAAAGTGCAAATAACATCTCCGAGCTCCATTTAAAATTATAATAAATTGAATTATTAAATACGGAAACAAGATAATCGGATAAAATTTCACTTTCACATAGGGGCCGTGGTATGGGTGATAGCAAACCCAATAAGTTTGGCGCACAATCGTATCAGAATCCATAACGAATAGCCCACAACTGTAAATATCCCAAACTAAAAGGGCATAAGTATAAAAACCCATACCTTCATGTAAAAATATTATTATTGTCCTGATTATCCTCCACTTTCCCTTTGCTTTCTTTTTCGCTCCCTCTCTCTCCTCTCTCTATATCGTTATCATCTGGTTGCTCTCTCTCTCTCTCTCTCTCTCTCTCTCCGTAATCGAACCTCATAAATCAATCGTAATTAAACAAACCATTTTCAAGTCCGAGACACACAGAGAGAAAGTCGGTGGAAGAGAGAGAAGCAGCAGCTTAGCAGAAGCAAAGAGAAGCCAAAACCACGCCACAAGCACACACAGACTCAGAGCCGCCGATCTAGTCGCCGCGTCAGATGCCGATAGCTTCTCCGGTCGAATCTCCGCCCACATTATCGCCGGCATGACAGTCTCCGAGCACCTCGCCGGTCACTAGGTCCCAATCTCTCTCTTACTCTCTGTCTCTGTGAATGCTGCTTGGAGCAGTGTCAGAGATTGTGGCTGAGTCGTCCTTTTGAATTCACAGTAGCTTTTTGTTTCGGGGTTGCCTTTTTGGTCTCTCTCTCTCTCTCTCTCACTTTTTCTCCGATCTCGCACTTATCGAAGCTCTTAAGCTCTACTGATGAGCGAATCTAATTCCTTCTCTCGCTGGATTTACTTTTCTGCTTAGCTAAAGCTGTAGACGTAGCAGCTTTCCCAAACATAATAATATTCTCGCTTTTTGTTTAAATTTAGCTCAATGATTTCGTCTTAATTAGTTCACTTTTGGTTATATTTTGATCTTAGAAAAATCGTTACTTTTTGGATTTTTTTTGTTGCTTTTTTGGGGTGCGGGAGCTTGTATAGTAGAGTGTGATCGGTGATGTTTTTTTGAATAATAGAGGGTGGAGTTTGTTCTGCAGTGACGCGACGCATAAATTGATTGTGATATTTCAACGAATGAGCTGAATTTTCACCTTGCATAGCATTCTATTTGTCTCTGTTCACTCTTATACCGGTGCCCTTCTTCTTTTACTCTTAGGAAAATCAGCTCCCTCTCTCTCTCTCT